AGTAGTAGGATAAACATGGGCAGTCGCAGGACACTTTCCCGGGAAGAAAGAACAAGCGACATCAGCCATGACTACTAGTCTTTCATCAATCACAAGCATCACTGAGCTAGTTGTGTATGCCAGCCGCTGTTTTGCAGTCAAGTTCTGTTAATAAGTTAAATCATTTAATAATGCTACTACTACCTAGATTTCAAATTATTTGTTAGTGTAAAATGTAAATGTTAGGGCGGCAGTAGATCAAGGACTTGGCTTAGAAACGGAAAGGTTCCCGGTTCAAGTCCCGGAGAGACTTGAACCGGGGTGAATCGGGGTGCTCCTGAGCAAAGCCCCCACCCCTACACTGCTCCCATGGCGCAGTACAGAACGGCTGCACGCTGCCTAACACTAGGAGGGGTGTAATGCAGAATCAGGGGTCTGTAGCGCAGTCTACTGAAGGGCTGCCCATCCCGATAAGACCAACATACGCAGTGTGGACTGGTAGCTGGAGAGGTGCCAGTTCTCCTCCTGGGTACTGCCGCGGTGCCCTTGAGCAAGGCGCCGAACACCAAATTGCTCCTTGGCACTAGATAGACTGCCTTCCTATTTGCTCTGGCACCTCCTGACTCCCATTATTAGTTGAAATTATTTTATTGACTTCAAAATTATCCTTTTGCTTCCACTAAGAAAATAAAACTCTGTTCCACTGCACACCAATGGCGATCCGATCGATGTTTTCCTGTGACTTTCCGAGTCTGTTCACAGTTTATTTTCCACTAACAAGTCCTTAAACACCACAGAGCCCATTCTGTGTTCCCGTTAGTGTTTACTTCCTTTCTCTCTTTTGATCCTCCTTAGCAAAGGTCATTATAGTGCTTTAAAAACGGTCCGTACTATCGTCATATTAGCTTTTGAAATGTCGGAATCGAGTATTCAACTAATGCCATGTAATAATGCACATTAAAATGGCTACAGTGATTTTGTCCTGTGTGTTCCAGGAGCTCCACTCTGGCAGTCCGTCCCGCAGCAGCTCCTCCCTCTCCTTCCAGAGCACTCCGCCCCCCCAGCAGAGCCCCGCCTCTTTCGGCCAGCCCCTGCTCAATGGCTTCAGTCGCGGCATGAGCGACAGCTCGGGGGCCATCAGTCAGCCCGTGGTGGGCGGGCTCGTGTCCTCCCTGGCAGGAAGTCCTCAGCTGAACATGAACGGCGTGCTGGGCAGTCTGAACGGCGTGATCCAGTCTCCCGTGCAGAACGCCCCCACGCTCCCTGCTCTGCGCCCCCAGCCCCCCCCGCTCACCCCCCAGGCTCTGGCCCAGGGCTTCCAGCTGCCCAAGAGCTCCAGCCCGTATGTGCCCAGCCTTTGTTCAAAATGAATTTGTGTTGTTTAATAGCAAGGCATTGACATCATGTCAGTGATAATCCTATAATAGTGAGGCGTGTGGGTGCAGATTCTGGTGTGTCATGTGACCGTGTGTCTGTGTGTGTGTTCCAGGTCTTCCCTCCTGTCGGAGCAGCAGAAGCAGCTTCTCCTGGAGCAGCAGCAGCAGCAGCAGCAGCAGCTCCAGCACTTCCTCACCTCACAGAACTTCACTCCTGTAATCACACACACACTCTCTCCTCTGTTTTCACTATGTATATTTTCTCATAGGATCGCCTTGTTTTCTTGATTCTGTTCATATTTGATTCACAAACCACTCAGGAAGACAAAATGGCAGAAAGCACATTTGCTAACTGTATGCTGGCTCAAGCAGGAAGTGAATATGTTACACTTCCTTGATTGATGTAAATTGTAACCTTGTTTAAATCCACCAAATAAGTTTCAAGAATTTACCAGGATCAAAAAAAATCTTTTATTTGATTGAACAGCAGTGATCTGCAACTTCCTTCCTCTCATGACACTTAGAATAAGAGGCATAATTGATGAATATTAAGTTTATAAATGAGTAAGATGTGAGAGATGCATAGCGTTTGCTCTACAGATGAATATTGAGGTAACTTTGTGCAGTAGTTGTGACTCACAGGCCGATGATGGTATGAGTCAATGTGTGCCAACAACAGGAAACCATGAGTGTTTCTATTTGACATGCTAACTGGTAAACCTTTGGTAGATTCTGCAGCCAATCAGAAGCTGAGAAACATGTTGATGTAGAGCTGTTGTGGTGACTGGGGGGTTTGGGCTTTTTTGATTTACACGTATATGATAGACAATAAGGGAAGCGGGTACAACATAGATAATAACACGCTTTGAAACTGATATTGGCTGTGTTTCCTTTCACCTCTTTGTGTTGTACATTTTTAATTGCCCATAGACCCTCAGTGAAAACAACCATAAATAACTAATAGCTGATAAATGATTAGGTACATCATGCACGTGTCTTCAACGTGCACTGAAGCTTCTGCTCCACTGAATCTGCCCAGACACAATTTCTTCTTTGTTTTTGACTGTTGGTTGCCTGGCGCTCTTTGAATGACCTTTGAATTACTTTCGTTCTTTTAAAGTTTTCCCACTGTAGAAGTAGTGCCACCTTCAGCTTATTTTGATGAAAAACTCTTTATAATATTATAACAGTAGCTGATGAAAACAAGCATTAATCTACATTTTATGTTTTTTTAAATATGTAAAAAAAAATCAATACATTTAGATGGAAACCTGACTATTGGCCAAGAGAAGAAACACTTGAAATGATGCAAAAATAGAATCTCTGATACAACACCTTTCAGTTCCGTGGTTTACTGAACATGTCTGTGCCCCCCCCCCCTCCTCACAGGAGCAGCAGGTGATGGTGTGCCAGATGCTGCAGCAGCAGAGGCAAAGGGAGCTGCAGCGCCTCACCCTGACGGGGGCCCTCACCTCCACCCCAAACTCCCCCCTGTACTCCCAGTCTCCCAGCCTGCTGTCCTCAGCGCCCCCCCTGCAGGGCGGCCCGGCAGGAAGCCTGTTCGGCCTGCAGGACAAGGCACTGCACAAGTCCGGGGTGAGTAACGGCTTGGGGAGTAACGGGTTAAGTTATTAGATTACACATTTTTTCGAATTACCCTTCCGATGTATTACGATGTATCAGTATCTGTGGTTCATTTGTTATTATTATTTTATTTAGCAGGTTAAGCTCTATGTGTGTAGAGACAGCCTGAATGTGCTAAATGAAAGGCAGGTTTTCCTATCAATAACATTTCTGTGCAGAGGACACATTTCTGATCCTAAATATCTTGGCTTCTTCTTTTCTAAGGACACATTGTTCTGTTGTCTTACATAATACACTGACGTAATAAACATATCATTGATATCTCTTTTCACTTGTATTTATCGCCGTTGCATTAGATATTGATATTTTTACAGGTAATTTGTAATTGTAACAAACTACCTGTAATGCGTATCATGTGATGCAGCCTCACAGTTGCAGCTTTAAAAATGATAGCAGTATTGTGTGTGTGTGTGTGTGTGTGTGTGTGTGTGTGTGTGTGTGTGTGTGTGTGTGTGTGTGTGTGTGTGTGTGTGTGTGTGTGTGTGTCCTCAGGCTGCAGGAGAGAAGGGTGGAGACAAGAACGGGTGATGATTCCACAGGAGCAGCTCAAATGAAGCAGAAGAAGGACTGAGGTCCCTGACCTCTGAACATCTTTCCCTCTCTGTCATCTTGCTCTTACACCCTCTTTTATGAATGTATACCAGGATGGACTTTAACGTTTTTTGGTGTTTTGGAGTTCTTTATATCAGAGGTTCTTCTCATAGGTTTTTGTGTAGGCAGCTTTCAGAGAGTACAGTGGTCTCTTGTTAAATTGCACTAATTACTTAGCTAGCCCAACGCGGCTGCTTCTGAAGGGCAGAGCCCCCCCCTGCTCCGCCCTGCAGGGGTTGTGTTCAGGCTTTCTGGTTGAAGTGTGAACTCTTTCCTGACCATTCACCATTTTCCTCCACGTTTCCACTCGGTCAGCGAGTCACACTGCCTCTTCCTGCAACCTCAATGTCTTCCTTGATATTTCGCCTTCCCTTTATGTTCACCCCCATCCAGATCTCCTATATGTTGCAGGCACTTATTATGTTAACGATAAATATACTGTCATTTCCAATGTGTTGTTAGTGGAATTTCAACATGAAGCTAGTTATTACCTCAGATCTTTCTGCCACCCATTTTCCAATTCCAAATTGTGTGCTGAGTCATTACCGCTATAGCCTTCACTGGGTCTAAAGAAAGCACCAAAAACCTTGGTATGTAAATGTGAACATGGCACAGAAGCCATGATATTGTCCACAAGAGCACCAGATTTTATTCAAAAAGAGTTTCTAAAGACTTTTATTTCTTTCCAGTTGCTATCGAGATTAAGCAGAAAAAAACAAACATTTGGAACTTGTAAGTAAGAAATTAACAGTTTTTCCTGAACAACTGTGCACTTTGCATGTTAGCAGCTAACAGAGCAAATCCGACATCATCACAGAACCTTTATTAAGGATACTGATTGGCCACTAGGGACAGACAGGTTTTCCATGTGAGTATTTTGCACTCCTCCTCCTGCAGTGTCCGTTCTATCTGTTACTTCCATACATAACCCTTAATGATATTCACCAACTAGATGTTCTTTTAGCAATACTGGATAGATAATGCCTTAATGATGCTAGATGTACAGAGACACCACGAGTCCAGGCTCACTCTGTTGTCGTCTTTCTTTGATAGTGCTTTTTATCTGGGGTACACGGTGGGGTTCATTACTGAAGTGAAAATACTCTTCCTAAACCCATTTATACTTTTGATAGCTGACTGATGATTTAAAAATGTGTGAATAACCGTATAGTGAGTAACTAAAGTGTCAAATCATTTTCTATTGTACTTTTTTGTGTTCAGATCTGATGTTCTTTAGTTGTTTGTGCTTCGAAGAAGTCTGACAGGAAAGCCTGCACAGTGTGTCATAGGAGACGGCCGAGAGGTAAACTATTATTAAAGTGCCGTCACAGCGGTGTGTCATACATAGTGTAGCCGTTAAGCTAACGTAGAGATAAGCTTGTCTTTCCTTCCACTCCACTTTATCCTACGATGCCTCTGTTTGGCTCACCTTTACTAACAAAGGCTCTTCACAAAGTAAGGGACTATTTAATCATGTTTCCTCCTGTGTTCTTTAACAATATTGTCATAGACCTTTATTAAATATTTTCTGTTTGCAATCTTGAACATGATCTCCCATACATGTGATGTAACTTGAGTGCTAGATTCTTTTGTTAGCAGCTAATGTAGATGTCAGAGAGGAAGTCCAAGCAGCTCACGGGTCTGTGATAAATACTGTAGCAACGACAGAAGGAGAATGTTGGTTCCGTGGATGAAGACATGAGCCAACGCATTGACACGACTCCAAAGCGGGAGCTCTGAGGTTTGACTGAGAGAATTTACTGAGTTTGTCCTTACGAGTCCAGACACACACGAGCATGTCCAGGAGACGGACTGCAGAGCGGTGCTGGGTTTCTGAAGCCGTTTCTTTCTCATGTTGCACTGGGGCGCTTTGGGCCCAATCGTAAATCGTTTTTTAATACCTTTTTCAATTTTGTTGGAATACGAGTGGTATACTTTAATATGTTTGTGTTAAAACACATTCATTCTTTTAAGCTTTGAAGTATGGGTAACCAAGATAATCCATGTTCTGAATGTCGTACTGTGTATCTTTTATGTGTATCAACATTTAAGCACTTGGCTCTGAAAGAGGTTTGATGGAGAGCGAGTTTCCTGTCGGGATATGAATTGCATGAAATGCAGCGAGGTCTCTCAAATGTGTTGCTAAATACCAAGTAATAACTATGCATCATTTTAAATGCATTGTTCCCTTAAAAGAAAAATAAATTAAATGAGCACTGACTTTTAAAAAGGACAAGCATGTTGTCATTGTATAGTGTATTTGTTTGAGAGAATTGATCAAAACTAATTTGACAATATTCAGATGAAAAGCCCTGTAAAGTATTTTGATATTTTTGTGTGTAAAATTAAAAGAACGGATTAAGACAACTTTTTTTGTCAATAAATGTATTTTACTGAGTTGTTTATATTTTCTCTCTGGTGTTGAATTACTTTTCTGTTTTGTGAAACAGGAGAGTGGAGGGGAATTCTCTTTTTCTTTTTCTACTTACTTACTGTTTATTGTAATGCTCAGGGAATACGCAGATCAACTGTTAGGTTTAAAAGTATTTGCCTATTTCTAATCAGTTAAATGTACAAAGAATAATATAGCGACAATTTCTTATTTAAAATTAGATTAAAGATGGAAATATAAATGGTTTTATAAATGTAATTAAACAAATTCAGTTACATTATATAAGTAATTAAAAATAAAATTAACAGTACGTAAAAACATTAACTGTTAAAATCAAATATGAACAATACTGTACTTTTTATAAAATAAAATATTACTAGTATAAACCGGAATTATTGGGGAACAGTAAATAATATACTACTATAAGGATGGCCAATGGTTTATTAAATATGGCTGATCCTTTAATATACAAGAATATTTATATATTGTGGGGTAGGTAATTGTAAATCAGTGAGTTCACATCTTTTCATAGACAAAGTCATACAATAAAAAGTGTTTACATACATTCTGTTTCAAGACTCAATTCTAGCTTGTTACTTAGTTTACACAGATTTCAGATCAGTTATGTGGTGTAAGGTGGAGAACACGTAACAGTTCCTAATAAAGAGCTAATAACCAAAAGCTTTATTGATCATTCTAAAGTACTTTATTGATGTCATATCCAGTATATCAATGAGGGTCACTAAGGACAACAATTGGGTTGCCAGTTCAAGGAAAGTCCTTTTAGCTGGTGTCAAGGGCGGACTGGCCATTGGGAATACCGGGAGTTTTCCCGGTCGGCCGGTACCGAAGTGGGCCGGTCGGACAATTCACTAGCATCCATCATTTTGAATGTATCTACTATGCCTTGTAATTAAGTTCTCACTTATTTTACATTTGTGCACAGCGGATACATTCCTTAAATTCAAAGGAGGAAGAGGAAGGGAAGGAGTGGTTTGAGCTCGCGAGCTGTTAACGTTTCTGAGCCAATCACCTGAAGCGACCCAGCAGCAGCAGCCATATTGTAACTTTTACTGAAGTCCTTCCAGCTTTCAGAGAGGCAGCTGTCTGTAAAGTCTGGGATTCCTCCTGTGTAAAAAGCAGAAGATTTACGACTTCAACACTCAAACTTGAAATGAGCGCGAGCAGCTTTCTAGTCACCGCAATGCGGAGAGGATGCACGCGGACCTTAAGACGACCTTTTCCCATGGTGAGACTTCGTCACTGTCTACACAACTAAAGTATTTTTATTATTTTCTATATGTGAGAAGCTCATTTCCCTTTTATCTTTGCTGCCGTACTCGCATTATGCGGAGTATTTAAAAGTGCTGCGTCACTTTAGAGAAACCTACATTGTACCGGAATTGTAATGTTGTTCTATGTTACCAAAAACTTGACACACCCTCATTCGCTCACCTTTAGCACAGAAACGCCTGCTGGTACAATAGAGGAGCGCGGCAAGGCTTGTCTCCATGTTAGGTTATCAGCGAGTTGCAGAGATAACATGTGTATGGAAGCCCATTTCAGTCTATGTGATGGGAAAAATAACGTCAATGTAATCAGAAACTTCTAAATAATAACTTAGCATTTCAAAATAAGCTTCTCAATATGTTGATACTTTATTGTAAGGCACGTTATTATTTTTTAGATACTAATTCATTATTGTAATGTTATAATTTAATATAATAAAATGTGTTTTTGTATTTTGTCAAAACTATATTTGCATCAGTAGCCTACTAGTTAAACTTGTTTATGCATCCGCGCTGGAAGTAGCCAAGGTTGCTTTATGTTTTTGGGTTTCTTTGTCCGTCCATTTGGAACAAAGGATGAACTGATTCGATTTTGGAGTGAAAGGTCACAGTCACTGTCACCTCACATCTGTCTCGTTCTGGTGAGGCGATATCTTCAGGGAATTCCTTCAAATTTGGCAAAAAACGTATAATTGGAGTCAAGGGCGCCGGAAGCGGGGGGGGGCCATTGGCCCCCCCACTTTTCAGCGCTGCCCCACATTTTCGCAGCAGCAGATGCCGCGTACAAATCCCTTTTCAATAATTCCCCTCTACTCTAAAGTCGCATCTAAAACGCGAACTGATCTAGCTGTGTATATTTTGTTATTTTTGATTGTTATTCAATCTCACTAGCTACAGGCATGTTTGAAGCTTGTAAAGGCAAGATGACAGCTCTCACTCGCCACTCTGCTGTTCCTCAGCGCCGCTCCCCCTCCCTCCCGCTGAAATTATGAATGTAAGGTACAGTAATCATAGATAACACGGCAGGATCCGTAGTTTGTTTTTATCTGATTTCAAATATACCTAAGCAAATTCTTGGCTTTCAGAATATTAAACTTGTTTCGGCAAATTCAGATGATAAATAGGCCTACAAATTTGAAGCTTGTAACGGCATAATTACAAGCGGAGAACGGAGTAATTTAACGTCACTGCAGGCATAACAACAGCCGGTGTTTCTCGTGAGTGTTTTCCCCGGGAAACAAACACAATACACACAAACGCAAGAATACACAAACACACACTTATCGCGGCGCGGAACACTACAAATCCCGTTTCAATAATTCCCCTCTACTCTAAAGTCGCATCTAAAACGCGATCTGATCTAGCTGTGTATATTTTGTTATTGTTATATATATTCAATCTCAGTAGCTACACGCATTTTTTAAGCTTGTAAAGGGAAGACCACAGCTCGCCTCTCACTGCTCTGCTCTTCCACAGCGCCGCTCCCCCTCCCTCCCGCTGAAATTATGAATGTAAGGCATATAGTAATCATAGATAACACGGCAGGGTCCGTTACAGTTTGTTTTCATCTGATTTCAAATAAACAAGTCTTGGCTTTCAGAATATTAAACTTGTTTCGGCAAATTCAGATGATAAATACAGGTGTGAAGCTTGTGACGGCAACAAGCGGAGAACGGAGTAATTTAACGTCACAACAGGAACAATAGACGGTGTTTCCCGTGAGTGCAGTAATCCAAACGAAAATATCTTCCCTCCGCAGTATTTTGATCATTTGCTCCACTAATAATCAATCAGATCGATGGATTCCAGAGAAGAGAAAACTTTAAAGGCCTTTTTCTCAAAATGTTGACTCTGTAATAGTCATTATATAAATGTGACATATTTTGCAAACTGTGCAAAGACGCCCGGACGTCTGCGATGACGGAAAAGAAAAACCTAAGGTAGACCGAAGCGACAAACTTTCTTCCCAGGTCCTCGAGCGCCTCTACAACCGTACAGTCCCTGACCACTGGAAGGGTCAACAATTTGAAAATTCAAATCTAACTGACATAAATCAAAAGAAGACGCGACCAAGAAGAACTGTACCAAAACGTTCAAATCCGATATATAAGAACATGATCAATTGCCGACTGGTTTCTTGGTTGCCATTTGTTTATTGTTTAGATTCGAAAAATAACCCAACCATTAAATGTACCTAATGTAAACTTACCACACCTGTTCAGGATAAAATAACCAATTTTACATGTATAAGAACGACAATACAGACGGACGAAATAAAAATGGATTTACATTTCACTGGACGAGAGTAGCTTTAGTCAGCGTAACTGGCGGCTTCTATTAAACCTAAGGACCGAAAAATTCTATAGCAACTAAAAACATCCGATGAGGT